CCAGTTTTTCCTAATGGTAACATCTTACATAATCACTGTGTAGTATCACAAGAAATTGGTAACGATAAAATTCAGACTTTATTCATATTTGTCCAGTTTTATATACATTTATATATTTGTGTATATATATTTAGTTTTATCACAGATAGATTTTTGTCCCAACTACCATAGCCAAAATGCAAGACAGTTCCATCACAAGCATTCTCTGTGCTGCCCTTTTATAGGCAAAGTAACCCTTCCTGTCTCCCCACTTCCAGCCTGGCCACCACTAATTCATTCTCCATCTCTATAATTTTGTAATTTTAAGAATATTGTATAAGTGGAATCATGTAGTATGTTACCTTATTGCAATTGACTTTTTTCGCTAAGCATAATTCCCTTGATATAAGTTGGGACTGAAAAAAAAAAATTTGCAAAAAGCATCTAATACCTTTCCTACTGGCCACCTGCTTGTTGCTGCCAATTAGCAAAGAAGGGAGAAATGAGCACTAGAAAGGCAAAGGATGTTTCTGTTGATGGTTTTCCCGAAGGAAGACTGGCATGTGAAGTAGAGTATCCCAGTACTCATTTTATTCTTAAGAGATACTCAGAGGAGAAGTGGGAATTCTTTTTCTGATCAACCTATTTGTCTTTTGGTAGAAAACAGTCTTTTTAAAGGACATGGTCCATCTCCATAATTATCTTTATACCCAAAGGCAGTTCTGGTCAGTTCCATCTTCCATCCTCCCTCTTTGTTTCATTTTTTTCATCCTGACCAATTAAAAACACATTATTGTATAAACTAACTTCTATATGAAATTTCCCCAAATTGGTATCTAACAAATAGAAATGGCAATTTAACTAAAATTAAATTTCAAGTGGTTCTAACTTGAAATTACATGCATTGAAGGGTTCTTGTTGTATACATCAGCCTTACAGGAAATCATCATGGTAGTTCTGCCTAATAGTCTCGTTTTGATTTGTTTTGCTTCAGAAGTAATTATAAAAAATATATAATTCATTTGGATTATCTAAATGTCATCTCTCAGGAATTTTACTACATAAAGCTCCATTTCATACCAAGTCATAGTCCTTATTACCAGTTTCCTTTTACAAATGTACACGAAGTATATGTATATTACATTTTAAGCTGTAAATATTTTTTTTTTTTTTTGAGACGGGGTTTCGCTGGTTACCCAGGCTGGAATGCAATGGCGCGATCTCGGCCCACCGCAACCTCCGCCTCCTGTGTTCAAGCAATTCTCCTGCCTCAGCCTCCCGACTAGCTGGGACTACAGACGCGTGCCACCATGCCCAGCTAATTTTTATGTTTTTAGAAGAGACGGGGTTTCACCATGATGACCAGGATGGTCTCAATCTCTTGATCTCGTGATCCACCAGCCTCGGCCTCCCAAAGTGCTGGCATTGTAGGCATGAGCCACAGCCCCCGGCCGGCAATAATTCTTATTTTTAACCCATTGTTGATGTGTCAAGGATCCTACTACCCTACAAGCAGAGGTTTTTTGTTTTTTTTCTTGAGACGGAGCTTCGCTCTTGTTACCCAGGCTGGAGTGCAACGGCGAGATCTCGGCTCACCGCAACCTCCGCCTCCTGGGTTCAGGCAATTCTCCTGCCTCAACCTCCTGAGTAGCTAAGATTACAGGCACGCACCACCATGCCCAGCTAATTTTTTGTGTTTTTAGTAGAGACGGGGTTTCACCATGTTGACCAGGATGATCTCCATCTCTTGACCTCGTGATCCACCCGCCTCGGCCTCCCAAAGTGCTGGGATTACAGGCGTGAGCCACCGCGCCCGACCCAAGCAGAGGTTTTTAAGTGTATTTTATACTTAGACTTAGCTTCAAAAAAGTAAAAAGGGCTTTCATTAATAAATATTTAAATAATAAGTACTTAATATTTCAAAGGAAACTAGCTCACACTTGTAGAAATTGTCATACATTTACTGACAGGAGATACAATTGACACTATTTGAATAAGCCCCGGAAGATTCTTACCATAATACAAGAACAGTTAACTAATAACCAGCTGGGATTTCCAGTTGTTTATCTGCATGATTGCTTTCAAGAGTTCTTCTAAAGGAAATTACGGGAATCCAGTGTCTTCCTCCATCTGTCTTACAGTCCTAACTTATACTTGACAACATACTGAGGCAGATTCATGGCTCTAGTCTAGCAGCAAGTTTGTCTTATAGATACACGCATAGGCCCAAGTTAAGACCAATCTGCTAATCTTCCATATCTATTAACCTAGTCTTTATCTTTATTTGAAAAGTAGGCCCAAATACAGATGTTAATATGGTAGCTTAGAATTAATTTTACTTTTCAAAATACCTTACTAAATGATAGCACTAATGTTAACTGTGGTATGTTGCTGACAGTAAAGATCCAGAGCCCAAAACAAATGAAAGATTGGGGTGTTTACACATTTTATCTATCTGCATGATCATAGCACTACCCAGAAAAAATTATTATCCATTCCTGTTCTACATACTACACCACCCATTTGATACAGTGCCAGACTGTTGAAACCTAAGTTTGAATCAGCTCTGACCTTTCTAATTGGCACTTTCACTTGCATCTTGAAACTGAAAAAAAAAAAACCAGAAATATTAGTTAGCAGTTCCTGACTGAGCCCCTACTACTTGCCAGACACTGATCCAGGCACTGGATGTTTCAGGCAAGCGTTACTTTACTCAACAATGTAGTGTTGTGGGTTTATTGCTGCTTTTTTCAGTTTTGGATGTAAGCTTCTTTCCTGAAGCAGTTTCACTGTAAAACTTGATAAATGTTTAGACTTCCGTATTGACGCAGTTGTCATTTTCTCCCCCTTCTCCACCTGGAAAGGTGATTCGGTTTCCTCTGAGTAGGATATTTTGAAATCTTACCCTGTTTTTTGTTCTCATTTTGTAACCCCAAACCACTTTCAAACTCTACTGTGAGTTAAACTCAAATGTTAACTGGAACTAGGCAGTTTCCTGAGTGTCTGAAGCAGACCAGGGCGGATCAGGAGGGAGTAGTAGGGTTTGTGTCAAATCAAAGATTCATAGCTACCTATAAACATTGAAATATTTTTTAAACTTGGTTCAGACACATTTAGAGGCTACAAGTTGCCAACATTCTGAACATCTAGATAAATATGAACTCTTTAGACCATTGATTTTTGAAATATGAAAGTATAATATCCGTTTATTGGCAACTCTGACGTGTGTTAGTTTTAAAATAGGAAATACTGAGAATTTTGTGGCATGAACCCAGACAGTTAAATTTATGGAGTGCAGCATGTGTGTATTGTTTTGCCTTGTTTTGGTTTTTAAGCTTGTAAGAGGAAAAAAGAAATTGGGAATGTTCAAAGATAATTTCTTCAGCCAGACATCTACAACAAAAGGTCTTAGGTTCAGTAACTAGTCTTCAGAGGATCCAGGAATATCTTTTAACTTAATTTTTAAATGTTGTATTTCTATATGTCTATGCTTAATGTTTTCTATAAAAAGTAGACTTGTTGATTTATTTTTATTTTATATTTTTAGAGACAGGGTCTCATTCTGTCACCCAGACTGTAGTGCAATGGCATGATCATTGCTCACTGTATCCCCACAGCCTCAAACTCCTGGATTCAAGCAATCCTCCTGCCTCAGACTCCAGAGTAGCTAGGACTGTAGGCGTGTACCTCACCTGGCTTATTTTTTAAAAAATTTTTTGTAGAAACAGGGTACTTTGTTGCCCAGGCTGGTCTTGAACTCCTGGCCTCAAGCTGTCCTCCTGCTTCAGTCCCCCAAAGGGCTGGGATTATAGTCATGAGCCAATGCACCTGGCCAACTTTATTTTTTAGAGCAGTTCTAGGTTCACAGCAAAATGGAAAAGGTGACAGTTTCCCATTTACTTCACCCCCGCCGCCGTGCATACGTGGCCTCCCCTATTATTAGCATTCCCCCACCAGATCGGTATATTTTTTACAATTGATATACTTATTAACTTTTTATTTTATAGTCTCAAAAGGAATGTCTATTTAAGAAAATCAATTCTATTACTTTGAGAGCCCATACCAATACAGTACTGATAGCTTTAATGTTTTTAAAATATTAATAGTTTATTACAAATATCCTGAATTGATTAAATGCTCTTTGAATTAAATGTTATTCTATTTTAAAAGTAACATAGACTTAATGTAAAAATTAGAAAATTCACACAAAGAAGAAACTAAAGACAGAATACATACAGTTATATTTGGTACATACCCTTCAAGACTTTAGTTTGTACATATATATGTGTCAGATATATACATCAGTACTATTGATGTGTAAACAAAGTTCTGCTTTGTGTTTTAGGTTTTTAAACTGTCAGAAGTACTATGTATGTATGTATGTGTGTATGTATGTATTTATGTATGTATGTAGAGACAGTTTCACTCTTCTTGCCCAAGTTTTTAAACTGTCAGAAGCACTATTTATTTATTTATTTTAGAGAGTTTCGCTCTTGTTGCCCAGGCAGGAGTGCATTGGTGCGATCTCAGCTCACTACAACCTCTGCCTCCTGGATTCAAGAGATTTTCCTGCCTCAGCCTCCCAAGTAGCTGGGATTATAAGTGCACACCACCACTCTCGGTTAATTTTTTATATTTTCATTAGAGACAGGGTTTCACCAGGTTGGCCAGACTGGTCTCAAACTCCTGACCTCAGGTGATCCACCCACCTCGACCTCCCAAAGTGCAGAGATTACAGGCATGAGCCACCGTACCTGGCTAGCACTTTTATTTAATTCAAAGTTATAAGCTTATAGATTGCTGTACCAGAGAGGCAAGAAACCAAGTTGCTGTAATAAAATGTTTTAGCAAGAGGGTCCTGATTTCTATATGGAATGACAGGAAAACAAAGTAGAAAAATTTGTCACTGAAGATAGAAAATATAGGATAGTTAAATGTAATCTTAGTTACACTTTTTCTCAACCTTATTAGTAAACAAGTTACTTGTTTAGCAACCCATGAATATATTCTATATTTTCCAGCCTCTTACAGCACAGCAAAGGACTTTATAACACAAAAATTGAACGAGCAAGATGTTTTTACATTCAGGTAATTTAGTTTTTAGTTTCTGTTGATTTTTTGGTCAATCTTCTCACCATAGTTACTATTTTATCAAAAGCTGCTTCCCATTTTAAAGGGAGCATCACATGTCTCATTTTATGTTTGTCTTTGTTAGAGTAGTATATTTTCAACTTAGGCTGCCACAGCAAAATACAGTAGACAGGCAAAATACCATGGCCTTCCTACTGTCCCCACTTGAAGGGGAGGAAGAAAGAGGGAGAGAGCACAGGAGCTAAGCTCTTTATCTTCTTTTTTTTTTGACGGAGTTTCGCTCTTCTTACCCAGGCTGGAGTGCAATGGCGCGATCTTGGCTCACCGCAACCTCCGCCTCCTGGGTTCAGGCAATTCTCCTGCCTCAGCCTCCTGAGTAGCTGGGATTACAGGCACGCTCCACCATGCCCAGCTAATCTTTTATATTTTTAGTAGAGATGGGGTTTCACAAAGTTGACCAGGATGGTCTCGATCTCTTGACCTCGTGATCCACCCGCCTTGGCCTCCCAAAGTGCTAGGATTACAGGCGTGAACCACAGAACCCGGCCGCTCTTTCTCTTCTTATAAGGCTGCAGTTAAACAGATGAGGATCCCACCCTTACGATCTTGCTTTAACCTTAGTGAACTATGCAAGACCCTATCCTCCAGCTACAGTCACTTTGGGAGTCTTCAGTATAGAGATTCTGGGGAGACATGGGTCAGCCCACAGCAAATAGGCATGTGTTCTTTTGTTCCTACAATACGGTTTTTTACCTGGCTGCTTTCTCTCATTTAATATACTGTGGCTCTTTACATGTCAGATCATACAGATCTTTATCTCATGTCATTTAACAGCTGCATGGATTTCCATGATAAGGATATACCATCATTTATTTTCCTATTTCCATATTGATAGACATCAGGGAAAATCAAAAGTAGGCTTTGGTGTCACCTTTACAGTCCTAAAGACTAAATCTGTTTCCTTTTGTTGTTTTAAAATATTGTAATTTGAGTAAAAGCCCAATGGAAATTAATTTTAAGCTTAAAAAATTTTAAGAAGTAGTAAGTTCACATGATTTGTACAACTCTTAATTAGGAAGCTTGAATTTAATTATATTTTTTCTAGTTAAATACAAGTGGCTGAACTATTAGGGATAAAATTTCTTGGCCATTAATGACTGAATAAAGATTGCATGTAAGTTCACAGGGTAATATGCATTTATTATTTATACTTAAAGAGAAAGCCATGAGTAGTAATGTATCTGTGTTGCATACATGTTAGGTTCCTTGCTTGAAGAATTGCTGATTACTTATTTGCTATGGGAAATAAATAAGGTGGTTCTTTTGTAGAATGTGATCATTCTTGCAAACTAGTACTTGAATTTGTTGAAGTGGAACTCAACAAGGTTTTTGGATCACTTTTTTACTGTAACATGATTTTATCAGATCTCTTCTTGTATTTAGCTATTTGGTATAATTTCATTCTAATTAGGAAAAGCAGCAAGAAATTCTTATTGGGCATATTTGAAAGGGCTTTTCACCTGGAATGTAGATTATTTTTCTTTTATCTTTTAAAAAACCTTTAATTGAAATATGTAGATAGAATACAGGTTCTAATGTGAAATCTACTTCCACTCCATGTAATATGAAATTCAGTTACCACTGAATCCAGAGTTCTGTTTACAGCTTTTTATAGGGGACATATTTTATAGCTTTCAGCAAAATTTTCAAACAATAAATTTTCAAATTGATGAGGTGCTGGGAGTGACTTTGGCCATGGTGGTAGTGAAGATAGAAAATCAGTGACTGCTGTAATAGGCACCAATTCCTTCATTGTAGACTTTAGCATCTTAAAGACCTTCTGCTATTTTTAATAAGAAAAAATATTAGGAACTGAAAAGGAGAGCTTGGGTAACCTGGGACCTGGCACAATTCAAACTGGTACAATGAGATTCTCTGTTCTTTATATATAGAGAAAGTAGGCTAGATTGCCTTATCCCAGGGCTCAGCTCTGGACTGGACTCAACTTTTAGTAGATCTTACTCTTTTAACAAAAGCCAGGAGTAATAGGAACAATACTTGTATTTCTGTGACTGACAGGGAAATACATAGATATGGTGTTTTTAAAAAATATTAAATTAATTATAACATAAAAATTAAACATTTGAGAAGTATATTAACAATGTTATAAGCAAATATATATGGACTTGGAAATGTGAAGCCAGTAGATCTCACACACTTTAATTCTATTATCCCCCATAGGGTTATCACTGAGGATGAATTTATATCCTTTGTCCCATGTGTCCCACCCTACTCCCCCTAAAAAATATATGGGCATGCAGTTGGGACTAAAATAGTTACTATTATTGATTCCTCCTTTAACTATTATAAAAGTCTTTAAAATTAAAGTTTCTTGGCCAGGCTCAGTGGCTTCCACCTGTAATCCCAACACTTTGGGAGGCTGAGGTGGGCAGATCACTTGAGATCAGGAGTTCAAGACCAGCCTGGCCAACATGGTGAAACCTCATCTCTACTAAAAACACAAAAATTAGCAGGGTGTGGTGGTGGGTACCTGTAATCCCAGCTACTTGGGAGGCTGAGGCAGGAGAATTGATTGAGCTCAGGAGGCAGAGGTTGCAGTGAGCCAAGACTGTACCACTACACTCCAGCCTAGGTGACAGAGCAGAGACTGTCTCAAAAAAAAAAAAAAGAAGGAAAAAAAAAAAAAAAAATATATATATATATATATGTATAGTGTTAATTTGTTTAGGTTTTAATTTTCATAGGATAAAAAGTTATATATATGGTTTATTTTTTAAAATATTTTTAAGAAGTAGAGTATCAGGTGGGACACAGTGGCTCATGCCTGTAATCCCAACACTTTGGGAGGCCAAGGTAGATTGATCACCTGAGGTCAGGAGTTCAAAAACAGCCTGACCAACATGGAGAAACCCCGTCTCTACTAAAAATACAAAATTAACTGAGTGTGGTGGTGCATACCTATAATCCCAGCTACTCAGGAGGCTGAGTGAGGCAGGAGAATCACTTGAACCCAGGAGGCAGAGGTTGTGGTGAGCCGAGATCCATTGCATTCCAGGCTGGGCAACAAGAGTGAAACTCTGTCTCAAAAAAAAGAAAAAAAAGTACAGTATTAACTAAATTTTTTCTGTTAGTGATGAGATCTGCAGTGTCAACATTTTTATTAATTTTGAATAAAAATGTATATTCTATAATAATAGTGATAACTTGCAAAAGTTCCATTCTGAACATTGTTGGAATAATTAAAAGCATAATGAATTTTGGTTTTCCTGTGTTCATTTATTATGGCAAATATGTCACACGCAAACACACCTTAAATAATAGGAAATAAAATCAAATATTAAATTCCCATTCTTTTAAAAAACGTTTTATAGAATTTAATCAAATAAAAAGCACAATATAGCATTGGTAATAATTTAGAATGTGATTGAAATGAAAAGCCTGTGAGTCTTCTTTTTAACTTAAAAAATTTTTAGATGTATACTAAAATAATCATTGTCTTCTTTCAGATAAATTTGCGCCTCATTTTGGTAAGCGGAAAAACAAAAGAGTTCCTTTTTTCTCCTAACGATTCTGCTTCTGACATTGCAAAGCATGTATATGACAATTGGCCAATGGGTGAGTGATACTTTTCTTTTGAGCATGAATAATGTTGATTCTTTATGCCCTACCTTGTCTCACACACATTTTGAAACTGTTATAAACATGTAACTTTTAAAAGAACAACCAAAACTTGAGAGTATAAGGCTCAGATATAGAGGATCATTGTATCCGTCCTTATCTTGCTCTTCAGCTGTCTCATTCTCAAATGGTAAAGGAGCCCAGGATGCAATAGCTCTGCTTCTGCCTTAGAACTGTTTAATGTAAGTGAACACACTAAAAAAAATGTTTTTGTTTTTGAGATGGAATCTCATACTGTTGCCAGGCTGGAGTGCAGTGGCACCGTCTCAGCTCACTGCAACCTCCAGCTCACTGCAACCTCCGCCTCCCAGGGTCAGGTGATTCTCCCGCCTCAGCCTCTGGAGTAGCTGGGACTACAGGCACACGCCACCAAGCCCAGCTAATCTTTGTATTTTTAGTAGAGACGGGGTTTCACCATGCTGGCCAGGATGGTCTCAATCTCTTGACCTTGTGATCTGCTCGCCTCGGCCTCCCAAAGTGCTGGGATTACAGGTATGAGCCACCACCACAGCCAACCAAAAAATATTTTTAATAAAGAAAAATGCAGCCAGGGATAGTGGCTCATACCTGTAATCCCAGCACTTTGGGAGACCAAGGCAGGAGGATTGCTTGAAGCTAGGAGTTTGCGACCAGCCTGTGCAACATAGCAAGATATCTTCTCCACTAAAAATTTAAAAATTAGCCAGGCATGGCAGGACATGCCTGTAGTCTCAGCTACTTGGGAGGCCGAGGCAGGAGGATCACTTGAGGCCAGGAGTTTGAGGCTGGCATGAGCAATTATCACACCACTACATTCCTGCCTGGGCAACAGAGCAAGACCTTGTCAAAAAAAAAAAAAAAAAAAAAAAGAGAGAGAGAGAGAGAGAGAGAGAGAGAGAGAGAGAGAGAAAGAGAAAGAAAGAAAGAAAGAAAGAAAGAAAGAAAGAAAGAAAGAACACAAAATAGTGAATATACACACACCTTCATATCAATAAACCCATTTTTACCAAAACACAAAGAGGAAAGAACCACTATTTTTAAGAGATGATAATACATTCTCTATGATCTTCTTTAGTTAGTCTATTTAAAATTGAGTTTGAAACAAAGTTAACTTCTAATTCATGTCAGTTCTTATGTTCTCTGAACTACTACAAGGTCAAGATGATTAATGTCCATCTGTGCTTTGCATTTTCAAGCCGGTAACCATAATAGTCTTATAAAATGTGTGTGTTATTTCTTCCTTTCTCTGATTTTTTATATAATGCTAAGACTGTTGGCTGGGCATGGTGGCTCAATGTCTATAATCCCAGCACTTTAGGAGTCCGAGGCAGGCAGATCACTTGAGGTCAAAGAGTTCAAGACAAGCCTGGCCAACATGGTTTAGTAGAAACGCTGTCTCTACTAAATAGAAAATTTAGCAGGGTGTGGTGGTGTGCCCCTGTAATCCCAGCTGCTCAGGAGGGTGAGGCAGGAGAATCTCTTGAACCCAAGAGGCAGAGGTTGCAGTGAACCAAGATCACACCTCTGCATACTCCAACCTGGGTGACGACAGAGTGAGACTCTGTCTCGAAGAAGGGGAAAAAACAAAACAAAAAAACTTGCCTTCCTCAAATGAATCTGTGGTTTATTTTCTTCCTTTTGAACTTCCCTAAATGTCATCTTGATCCTATGTCATTATCATAGTGAAATGATTTTTTTCAGCTGATTTCACTTAATTTTATTAGCAGAAGCAATTTGAACTTTTAAAAGACAAGACTTGTTTTGACAACATAGTATATATACACAATGAATCAATTAGGTCAGTGTTTCTCAACCTTAAATAATATATTGAACTTTTCTAGAGGGAGACAATTCTTATAGATCTCTAGTGCTGTCTTAAATTATTTTTATTATAATGCATATTTTAAAATGCGGAAATGTAAACCCAAGCTCTTTATTCTTGTTAACTTATATACATAATCATAAAAATAAAGATGGATTCAGAAAATGCAAATGTAACTCTGAAACCAGTAATGTTCAAATTAACAACATTAATGTGCTGGATGATGTATGTTTGCCAAAGCCTACTCACTGCTTACCCCATGAATATTGTTGAGTTTGTCATGCCTGTGTTCCTACATAGTGTTTGATGACCAAGTTACCTGTAGAGTCACCATAAAACCTTTATTTATACAGTATAATGTTGTCATTCAGTTTTCTCTTAGATAGAATGCATTGTTTGCCTGTTAAGTGAACCTCTGTTCTTATCTCTTTAGCCTCTTAATTAAAGGATTACTGAGTGCTTGGCACCAGTACAATCATAAATTTAATGCACACGTGAGTACTAAAATCCCAAGGCTGCACTTGGTTATAAAGTGACTATTTAAATCATCTACATAATCTCTTCCAGATTTCATAAACATTGCAGATTTTACAGATTTTAATTAAAATGAAAATAGAATTTAAAACTTATTGAAGAGGACTTTTAGACCCTAAGAACATGTCTTTGTGGATTCATAGGCCTAAATTTAAGAAATACTGATTTACACAACTACTTTTAACTACTGGATCTTTCCTCCCATTAGTAACCAAGGGGCTAGTTTCTAAATCAGGGAGATACTGAAACTATGAAGGTGATAGCTAAGAAGGAATTTTACAAAAGCTAAAGAAGACTAAATTTGGGCTCTGAGAATATTGGCTATTCTTTATGGCCAGGCCGGAATAGATAACTATCAGCATGAGAAGCATTTTAAAATATCTGAGAGTGATGTTGTTCTAAGTGAGATACAAAAAGATTACTTTTATGAGATTTTTTTTCGGGGGGAGGTGGTGGTTGTAGAAATAGCTATTGACATATGGATATTGCAGAAGAGATAACACAAGGCAAACAAGGGGAATCACTCTGAAATGTATTTTATTTGGGCAATATTATAACAAGGTAAAATAAATATTTTTACTTTCATAATTACTTAGATATTAAAATTAGTTTAAATTTTTTAAAAAGATCCTGATTAAAGGTAAGCAAAAATCAAGTATAAGTCTGCCATAAATAGAATCCCAAATGACCAAACCATCTACCAGTACTGAAAATTGATTATATCAGTGGATTTTCCCTTATTTAAAAAAAAAAAAAGATTCCGATTCCCAGTATTTCCTCAGGTTGCCAAATCTATTCAGCAGTTTTAGATACTGCAAGGAATAAAGAGAAATACTTTAATTTTTATTTTATATAAAGTATTTAAATTAAAAATCTAAGTCTATATTGTATCACATAACATTATAAAGATCAGCAAATGTAAATACTTATTGATTCTAATAACAAATGTGTGGCAAATATTAAATCAATAAAAGAAAATACTTTGTGCAATTTACTTGTTGAAAGAGTTAGTTTTTCTTAGTTTACCCTTATGTTATTTAGTGGAAATATTACTGACGGGTGGAATAGTTAGACACATAGCTGTTACTGGATCAAAGGTTCAAAAAAGTCTGTTACACTTAGGGTATGTTAATAACACCTAAAATTCTTCATTTAAGCTATATTCTAACGTCTCTCTAAATTTCAGATCATTGGAGAGGGGAAGAGAGATAGTATATTACACTGGTGGGTGTGTACATGGAAATCATGACACTCTGTATAAGCTAATGAAACATGTGGCTTCAGGTTTCTGCATTCCCAAAAAATTTTTCAAGTATTTTTAGAATATTAGTCTTTGTTTCCTGTGAATTAAACAATTACTGTTATTTACCTTTGTATCTATGGAGCACTTCCATCTTGACCAGAAATATTCTATTAAACAATAATTTAGGAAGTGATGAATTCAAAGCAGTTCATACTATAGCGTTAGAGACATTTGATCTTTCTTCCAGAATAGGAGAGACCTGGGAGCAATGGGATTAGAAGGCAACAAAGGCTTGCTGAAGAGAGAAGGAGAAACAGACTAAAGGCATGGGGCAGGGGCAGGAAATGATTGGGATTCATTTCTCCTCTGCCGATTTCTGCTGTGCCTAAGTCACCTAGAGGCAATCAGTGGTTTTATTAAATTCATATTCACATTTTGACCAGTCAAAAAATAAAAGTAAAAAAAAGTCTGTAATTACTTCCTTTCTGTTCTATCACTCTCTCTTTTCAGAATATTTTTTGTGTTGACCATTATCCCTTTCTATAGGAAACAAACATATTAGAATTATTGACAAAAAAGACAAAGGAATTCTCATATCATTAACAGAATCAAGGGTTAAATTGTTACATCTACAAGTTCATGAAAATTACCCTTACCCTCTCATAACACCAGTGTCCTTAAATCTTTATTTTAATGGAGTGGTTTCCATATTTTACTATAATATAAATTATAGGCTGAAGTTAAATATTCTGTTACCCATTCTGCCTGCTAATTTGTCTTTTGATTTTCTTTGTACACTTTTCTGGCTTTCATATTTGTACAGTACCTCCTAATATATATTATTTTTTGGGTTTCTTCTAAGTCATTTTGGGTGAGGTGTACTAAAGTTGTGTCTTCTCTAATGTTTACTAACTGACTTCAAAAAGACAATAAGATAATAAATCAACGTTATCCAAAAGTAAATACTTAATTTTTTTGTTATTCTCAGTATCAATATATTAATTGTTTTTTAGATCTTTGTTAAGCCTGCTGTTTTTTACTACTCGGTAGGTCTTTCCCAACTCATTTGTGTTAACTTTGTACACTTGGGGACTACAATTTAGTACATTTTAGTATTCTTTAAGAAGCAAAAACAAGTCTTTTTGTAGCTCTTGCTACTTAACAAGAAGAGTAAGCAAGAACTAAGGTTGTGGTGAAAAATGAACAGTTACTGTTTTGAATACTTGGAAGCTCCAAGAGTCTTCTTTGTATTCTAACTGATTTGGGCCTGAATTTTTAAAACAATATATTAGTACCCTAACTATTTTGTTAGAATATACCTAACCAGTTCACTGGATTCTTTTCAGACTGGGAAGAAGAGCAGGTCAGCAGTCCAAATATTCTACGACTTATTTATCAAGGACGATTTCTACATGGAAATGTCACCTTAGGAGGTAACAGCCACCTTTGTAATGGGATTTAATGTCCGTCTCTTGGTAGCATGATTCATTTGTTTTAAATGCTAATGTCTTTGAATTTACTTAAAAAAGGGATAAATTCAAACTGAATTCTGCCTATTTCTGGTATGCCTACTCCTTCATATTGTATATTCTGTTAAATTTAATTTTAGGACTGTAATAAGTATTTACTACCTTGTGAAATAAACTCTATCCCAGTATAGGTAGGATTCTACACCTATTATTTTATGAATATAATGTTATTATATTTCTGAATAATGTAATTTAGATATAGTATTTTAAACTTAAGACTGGACATACAAACTAGGAAAAATTTATGATAGTTTTCAGATACATGAAGGGATGTTTTCAGATGTTTCTGTCTGACACAATTGCTAATCATGTGAGAATAAAAGTAAGTGGCTGACATTAGGGCAGCATTTTAGTGTAGTAGCTGAAGGAACAGATTTTGGAACTAGACTGTTTAAGTTATGTGTTAGCTTCATTACTTGCTGGCTGTATAAAACTTGGGCAAATGACTTAACCAACCTGTGTTCCAGTTTCCTCATCAGTAAAATGGGATTACAGTAGTGCCTACCTCATAGGTTAAGAAAGGGTAAATTAGTTTATGTATTCAAAGTGTTTGCATGCATAAATTGTGCTTGGCACATAGTAAACACCTTAATTGTTAGCTATTATTGTTCTTTATTTATGATTGCAGAAATCTAGCTCAATAGTGCCCCCTTATGGGGTACCTTTTCTACCATCCACAAGACTTGTTTTGTTTTGCAAATAGATATTTCAAATATATTCAGATAAGTGGAAATTTATAGGCAAATGAAATGATCTATTTAAATATATATTTATTCCACTAAATGTAGTCTGAATTTTCCCCTCTAAAGCTAATATTTAATCTATTTTTCCTTAAAGGTAGAATATTTGCATTTATTCATTCAGCATGTATTTATTAAATTCTTATGTGCCAACACTGTGCCCAGCACTTGGGAATACAGGATTGAATAAGACAGAAGCTCTCCCTTGAGGATGTTCTAGTATTACACAGCACAAACAGATAAAATCCACTGGTAAAAATACTAGGCAATAAGGGCTAAAATAGATGAATGCAAATGATTTTATGGCAGTATCACATAAGTAAAAAACTTCAGGATATAATCTCACACTAAGTTTCACTAGTAGAAGTATAACTGGTCTAAAAAAAGTGCTGCTGTCTACCAAGAGATATCTGGTACTTTAAAATACAGCTTTTTAAATTTGTAGCTCTTTTTATAGCTTTTGTGTAAATAGACCAACTCTTAATGCGCTTAATTTAAGAAATGACTATAAGCTTCCTGGCTATATTGTACATTCATTAAGGATGGGGCCATGTCGTAGTCTTTGTGAAATTCTCTGTGGCTCGTACAAGATCTTATGTGAATTAAAAATTGGTAAATGATGGTTGAATTTAATCTATTGATTATGTGAATGAACCTTGAAATGCTTCATATCCCTTTGAGTATTGATCTATGTGAGCAATTTCCCACCAACTGCATTCCTTAATTGTCTTTTCTGTTGTGACCTCAAAGTTTAAACTTCATATTAAAAATCGTAGAATTTGTTAAAAATCTAAATTACTGATTCATTCCCACTAAAGTATAAATTTTTACCAGTTTTTTATTTTGAAATTTGTTTTAGAATAATTAACAGATTGACATGTAATTATTATTGTCATTCTGCATTGCTGTCCTTCTTTTCAAAACCAATAAATTATCTCTGGCCTTAGTGATTTAGACAGTATAGAAGCATGGCCTGGACCTCCACGTTAATCATTGTAGCTGTGTGTTTGAGCAAGTTTAGATAACAACATTAAACTATTTGTCTTTTGGGTCTCAGATTTTCTTTTTAGCCTCCCTGTGTCCTTCAATGTGAAGAATAAAGAAGATAGCACACAGGGAAATGCAACCGTCTTTAAATATTTGAGTGGCTGGTATGGAAGAAGGCTTTGCATGGCCCTAGAACTTGCTCTATATAGCCCTTTGAATCAGACTTAGAATCAATAACTGGAAATCAAAGACAGTTTTCTATTCAATATAGGAACGAATATGTGAACAGATTGAACTACCTAAAGAAAGAATAGACTGCCAGGGACAGTTAGTGAGATCCTAGTTATAGGATTCACTGAATTACCACGACGTAATGGGTATGCAGCCATGAGTGGAATTCAGCCATTATACGGGCAGTTACAGTAGGAAGCCTGGGCCTTCTCTACCATTCTTGAATTGAATCCCCCTTTTGAGATGAACCTTTAAAGTCAGAGAGAGTTTCAGTTCATTAAAGGAAAGCTGTGACAGCAGCCTTGTTAATTGGAGGGTGAAGATGATGATCAGCTAGAGCTCTGGCATTCAGTATGTCCCAGATTAGCATTTCCAAAAACGTAGTTCTGAAATAGTGGGCATGAGACTCATCTAGGATACTTATTTTCAAATGCAGATTTCTGCATGCCCTCTGTCCCCAACCCCCATCTCCTAATTTTACTACTGAATTGAATTCCTGGGTGATTTTTATATATGCTAAAGGTTGAAAACCTCTATTCTGGATATTGTACGAGTGTCATAGGAGAAAGCAGAAGCACCCACAGTGAAAGGAAGAGAATGCATTTTAGATTCTGGTATTCCTCTTCTTTCACATTTTTAAATATTATTAACATCAATACCTACTATTTCTAGTTTAGTCAGATGGAGAAGAAAGATAACAGCTCCCATGCATTACATTTGTACAAATGGTAAGCCTCTCAGGAGCTCTCTAGGCCACTCTGACATTTTTTTACATTTATATCTCAGTTCGCCCACCTTTTTTCTCAGATACATTTTCCTTGGTATCTCAAAATGATGACGGTAGTATACACTGAATGCTTTCTTTGTGCCAAGCTCTGGGCAAAGTACTTTGCTTGGATTGTTTCATTTAATGGACACAGCTGTAAAGGGCAGGTAATAGAATTAGTATCTCCAGTTCAGTTGAGGAAACAGAAGCTTAGAGAGAGGGTAAGTAATTATCTGAGAGTTACACAGTTGGAAGTAGCAGATATGAAAATTTTGAATCCAGATCTGTCTATTATTTGAGTCAAGAGGATGGGTATGAGAATGATATACAGCTTGGTATGTGTACATTTTAAGTTCAGTTCAAGGTTTAAAATGTTGATCAGGCTTCCCCAAGTATTTAGTGAAAATTTTAATAACATAAAGCCTTATTTACATTTTGATTTAAGTCAGGCCTAGGAAGTTATTCTAAAAGCCTCCCTTTTTTTATTATGTATTTGTGGGCCCTGGTGCTTCATTTGAACATCAGAGGTTAAAAGTGTAGACCAAATAATGGCTGGCCAACTTTAAATAAGGACTCACCTTGAACATATGGAATAGTAGTAGTTTTGAAGATAATTATGATTCTCTTAAAAAATCTACATGTTAACCATCATCCTATAGAGCAAGTTTTAAAAAGCAGGCAGCTGGAGGATCATTCTTGCTAAATAATGATCATAAAAGCCTTACATCAGTTTGTAGTTTTTCAAGAGGAGGTAGTTTGAGGTGTCAGAACTAAAATATCACAACTATAGAAACAGTTCTGGAAGTTAAATACACCAGCTGCTTCTGATTTTATACACAGAGTAACAAAGGGATTTACCATGAAACTCGGTGTTTGTATTTGCCTTAGTGGACATGGGTGTGTATTATATGTCTGAAATATTTCATAATAAAATTTATTAAATATATGAGTGAAAAAAAGTCATAAAGACTTGTTTAGGAAACCATGATTATTGATAATGCCAAGACAGTGATTATTTTAACCTAATCTTTTTAAGAAAATTCTAATGGACAAATACAGGAGTGAGAATAAATGTTTAAAATCAAATTAGTTTCTTGCATTTCTACATCATAGTAGCCTGTTCAGTGCAGTAATTTTATTAGAAAATTGACAAGTAATTAGATTTAGAAATGAATATCTCTTAATCTAAACTTTTCCCTAATCAAGTATTCTTTAAAAAAAATTTTCAATTTTTTCTCCTCTAAAGTCTCTGATATTAGCCAATTGCATACTTTTTCTTATATCATTTCTTAAATAATAGAGATAAATGTGTCAAGCAAATGGCTATAACTCTGAAGAATAATTTTTAAATTTTAAATGTTTTTTCTGATAATTTAATTTTGTAAAGGTACTCTGAGTTGAGAAGTTCAATCTGTTGAGGAAGTCATAAAAAGGCAATCAATTTTTAAAATGGGTTTAAATATGGTTAGTGATTTTAATAGGTCAATATATGTGTAACTAATCATCTTTTGCTTTTCACATAGCATTAAAACTTCCTTTTGGCAAAACAACAGTGATGCATTTGGTGGCCAGAGAGACGTTGCCAGAGCCAAACTCTCAAGGTAAGCCATGCACTGGAAAGTGTCTCAGTTGATGCACAGACAGGCATTCAAAACCTCTGGGTTTTCCTTGGATATTTGGAGGGAAGGGAAGTTTGCATGAATAGAGATTGTCAAGCAAGTAACCAGACATTTTTGAAACATGCTAAAATTAAAAGAACATTTATAGCAGTTTCCTAATTTTGAAAAATGCAAACATTTTTAAAAACCCAAAACTATATCTACACTTGATTGCCTAGCGCCTTTCCCCTCCAGTTCTAGAATTTTTATAAATGAGGCTCTTCTTCGTTTTCTCTAGGTCAGAGGAATCGTGAAAAGACTGGAGAGAGTAATTGTTGTGTAATCCTGTAAACACTGTCTGCCTAGTGTGATGCGATATAGTCTTTGTCTTTCATGCTGCTGGGACAGAAAAGACCCGACATTGCTTCAGAAACCGTTCAGAACAGTCTGCCTGTAAATCCATGGAACTGAATTTTACCACATGAACACTGTCATCTCTTCTCATGAAAGTAAAAAGAACCCAAGAACATTTTTCGCTATGATTTTTTATTTCTTATATTTTTATGTTGAGCTGTTTTAAAACATATTGGTTTTTGAATGCAGTCAGTCTCCAGGGTAAAAACTAACAAGTTATCTTTCGTAGCAGAAACCATTTTGCTGCCACAAAATTTTCATCATCAGAACTAATAAATTAAGTATTCCAAATACAATTTGCACTAAAAAAGATTGACATTATTTTCCTCATCAGCAGAATTTATAACAGTTTATGGTACCTAGAAATACTTATATATATATAATTCCACACTAGAAGACACTCAGCAATTAATGAAGTTAATTACTGGGCAAACCTGAGAGGAAAAAATGGAAAAGAAACTAAAATGTTGGGTGAATTCTACCAAAGTCAGCCGTGGTGGCTGCACCGGCACAGAATACTAAACTGAGTGTGACTGTTTTCACTGCAGCAAATGAAAAAATGTGCCTGTTGAAAGCACTCAGTAGAGGGCTGATTCTTTCCTTTAAGACATGCACTCTTGAATCCTACAGTAACTGAGTGCTTGTTTAGACAGCACAAGAAGAGGTGAGAGTGCGACTCCTAGCCTTAATGTGTGGGAGGGTAGTTCCAGTCACTCATCGGCTTTCATTATTGAGCAGAAACATTAGAAAACCTCATTGATCGATTTTATGTATTTGAATATCAGCAAATTGAATTTTCCATAATTATCATTAATTTGGAACCACATCCAGTGTCATGCTTACTCCTTAGAGAGTTCAGATGAATTCTTAAAAAAACTCCATAGTTCTAATTTTGTTTCTTTATATAGTTTGCATTTGATATTAGTGCTTGCAATTGTATTAAAATCAAAAGCTGATTTTTATGGCATACACAAATAGGAATGCCACTTTTTCTTTTGCTTTGTACCAATAATTTAAAGATTGATATGCTAAAACAATTTGCACAGCACTAAAGCATGAGCTAGTTTCATCTAAACCTGTAAAAATATGAAAGATTTTATATTTTTTCACTGGGAAGAAATTCTTCCTGGATGAAATTACAAATATGTGTAGAATATATTTAATAAAAGACTTATAAAATACCTAACTATAGGACTTAAATATAGATTGGCGTGTAGTATATAGAACAATATTCCATATAAATAACTAGCCTCTATAAAAATGAAGTTGCAGGCTGACATTACATTCTGTACTTACTGTCAACAGCCCTTACAAACATTAAATGTAAATGGTTTCAAATGGTCAGCATTGTTTAAATGTAATCAGGTTATTTTATTCATTGTTAATGCTTTGATGAAAAGGCTTTATATGCAGTAGATCTACAGAAATATTGTTCATAATGATCAGAATTAAATTTGTATAGAGCAGAGTTTTAAAACAAATGTAAATAGCACTAAACATTTTCTTTCTGCAACCTGTACTTATAGATTCTTCCTGTAAACTAAATAAAAACAAAAAATCATAGTGTATTTTGGTGGTAATTTTAAAGGTCTTGATTAGGTCAATAACTGTTTAAGCACTGTCCCATTCTTTTATTTCTTAAGCTTTTAAAATTCATTTAATTAATATTCTGTTTTGGTTTGGGGAGTATTCCCAGTGTATCTTTGATATTTAACCTGGTTAATTTGTACACAGTCACAACAATGGATAGAACTATGTATTCTGTTATCACTAAAACGTTATATTCAAGAGATGTTAAATATTTATATGCTTTGTTGACTAGCGGAAAGGTGAATTCTGTTAGTGTTGACTAAAGAATCTGGTAGTTGCCTAATTGGGCAATTAAACAATTTATGGCTCTATTCTTTTGTAAAATGAACTAGTAATTTTAATACCTATTTCATTCTAATTACTTTTTTTTAAGGGACTGTCAGTTAAGATTTTGTTTTTATGATGGTTAAAAATAATTCTCTCGATTTTTCAATATATTTTTCTGTGTTCTCTCAGATTATATATTTCCCTCAGTTTAGAGTTTTTGATGTGGGATAAACTGTTTCACTAGTAGAGAAAGAATTGTGTCGCTTAATACCTAATATCATAGTTGTACAAAATGAAAAAAGAATAAAAGTAGCAGTAAAATTATATACTGAAAACACCAAAAATTTAGATGCCTTAATAGTATATATGTGAAAATACTCAGCTGTCCCTTTAAAAATAATTCCTTGGACGGCCTGATGGTTAGAATATGATTACTTATATCCAAGGCTATTTTTGAATATCCCTCTGCCAAAAATACAGCTCACTTATCTAAAGGTGAGAGCTGCACAGATCCAGTAATGTACATAAAGCCTGAAGGATGAGCCTGTGCCCCTGCCTGACGCTGGTATCTCACTCATCTCTTTTACCTAAATTGTCCTAAACGTTGTCAGGTGTTCTAGACAAGGCAAAGCTTTTCTTCTTTATTAAAACCTTAGCATGTCTCCCTGATCTGAACTATTTGCTTTCTCTTCAAGATAAATTGTATTTTACCATGAAAAATACAGTATCTAACATTACCATTCACATTCAATGAAGTTTCGTCATAACATTTATCTTAAGTTTTATGAAGTCATCTTGACCAATGTTACAGTAATTTCTGTTAGCTGATTGTGGTAAACAATGTTTAATGTGCAAAGAAATTAAAACTTTCTTCATCTGTTGTAGAATATTTCTCTTCTTTAAAACAACTTCTATTCCTAATTCTGGTGTATTTGCCTATTCTTTATTTCTATACTATTTTTGTCTTTTTTTCTTTGTCAGTTTATTATACTCTTCAGTAAAATTCAACATGGGGCTAGCCTTTACTCTGCATGGTTTAGCAAAATCAAAGAGAAGTATCAGCCAAAATTCAATATGCCTTAATACCATCTTTATTTGTAACTTTTGCGAGCATTCAGTTTTGTTTTGTTTTTTTCATGCGTGTGTTGTAATGTGGTCACTTGTTAGCCAAACAGAATGATTGGGGTGGGAGGTGGGCTTGAGAGAAGGCACGTGACCTATAATTACAAACACAGCTACAATTGAAACACAGCTGCAGGCTGTGCTGGAGCCTAGGCACAGCTTTTATGGCCACAGAAGGGTGGGGTTCTTGGGCATGAGCAGTCGGTGGTTGGCTGTAACTCCTGGCTTACCCTGACCCCTACCACTTGGTGTGCTTTCTTCAGAAGACAGCAGCTTCTATGAAGCCCTTGACACAGGAAGCGGTACGTTGACTTCTGAAAGAGATTGTGGATAGAACTAAGTGAGAGACATCTAATTCTTAAATATCAGAGTTTAATCCAGTACTAAACTGTGAAAATTAATTTCATTTATTACATTATTTTGTAGTCTTCGACAATGATGTCAGATGTTGGTCTTTTAATTTTTCCTGTTCTGCCTCTTTTTTAAAATAACAGCTTTCAAGAAATAGGGAGTGGGCATAGTAAATTCCCATTTGGGGAAAGGAAATGCCCATCTCTTTCATATGAGTCAACCAATAAAAGAGTTGGGTAGACACATTTTCTCAAATGGCTCTGGAAGTGGTTTGTTGTTAGAAGTCTTAGGCCAAGAGTCTGGCTGGTTTTAGAATGTAATTATACATTCAAACATTCTTTGGTATCTTTTATTTTCTACACATGTTCTTGAAGCTTATTTGTTGTAAGGGAAGTCTTACAATGGTAGTGGGAGAAACTTACCTATAGTTAAATAATACAAGGAGGCAGCAGAACCTAGAGGGGAGCTAGGACAAACCGTAGCAGAGCAAGACCCTCAGAATTCTTGTAGGAACATACAGGAAGACATCTGGGAGTTGGCCAGTTCTCAGTTTTCTGCCAGATGAGATGATGGTTTCTCTTTTTCTCTGCATGCTGAAGCCTGGTTCCCCTTATAGCCTTCCTTATCACATGGTTTTCCCTGGGCATCGCTTACCTGGATTCCATTAGTCAGGGTGCCACTCCCCCCCAGTGTTTCTCAGAAGCATTGTTTTTAAGTCTGATAATTTTAACACATCTGCACTTTGACTGATAACTGTTCTTCAGTCCTCAGAGTTCAGAAAACCTCAAGAATAGCTGGGCTTTCAAGTCAGCCTGGCTTTGCTCTGGGTGACCTTGAAAAAGTTACTTAATATTTGAGCTTCAGCTTTTTCATATATAAAATAAAAATAACACCTAGTTTAGAGGGTTGTTGTAAGGATTATTTTTAAATAAATATTTAGGACACAGCTTTGCCCAAGAACTCATGACAAACTAGCAAACCTGTCAAAAGGCTTTATGTTGGAAATCAAGTGCTGGGCACCAACATATACTCTAAACTTTGAGAAGGTAACTTATGAAAAGACCAGAGAAAATGTGGTTGATACTGTGTTCATTTAAAAGGAAGATGAGTGGGGAAATCTCAAAAATAAGCTCTGGAATAGAAGGAAAATAGGGACTCAGCTTCAGATGTATATATGTGATGTACCAGGTCATAGAGCTTGGACATGTTAATGTAAAGACATAAACGTGACCGTCAAAATCTGAGATGCTGTTTGTTACTATGGTACAAAAATACGTTACTGTTGAAAAGAAATTAGTCTAATAAAGCTGGAAAACTACAATATATCAAGAATACACAAAAGGAACTTAGACCTGAGAGGGTAATTAAATGGGGAGTATGTGGATAATGAAAAAAGACAAAAATATGATTGTCAGGTTATATTGTACTTCGTCAGATTAAGGCTGTGAATTTCTGTTCTGAATCTGCAACAGGAAAACACTGAGACAAGACATGGTAGTGATGCAGTAGTTTGGCTGTACCAGACCTTGCTGGGTGCCTTGTTTCCTAAGAGGCCGATTAACTCTTGACTTGCAATCATGCCATCCCATTAGGTTACCAGAAGTAACAAAAGAAAACTCAGGGATTCATTTTGGCCCAGTGGGAAAGAATGATTCTAGAGAAAATGTTTGGATTCTACAGTGAAAATAGGTGTGCACTCAAATGTTAGTAATGATGAAACTAAGGCAGACACTGGTGATTGCTTCTCCAGCATCCCTGCTTCTTTCTTGCTGGGATATTGAGGGGTCACTTTGCTTTCCCTTCTTGTGGCTTAGGAAAGTAGGATGTTCCCAGCTCTGTTACCTTTGGTGTAATTGCTTTAGAAGTGGCCGTGGGACTCCATCTTGGCAGAGGAGACACGAGGGAACTCTGCTGAGTGTGTTTGTGGTGAAAGTTCCTTCGCTCCCAAGAGACCTTTCCAGAGACTCTTTTTGCCTGTGGACATTATTTTGCCTGGATGTGATGATTGAAACTGCTACAGCCACATTGGTACTCAGAGGGGAGCTAGACTTAGGGCAAAGCCAGCACATTAAAGGTGTAGAGGAGAAAGGAAAAAACCCGCCCTTGCAGAGCTGCTGATTTTTTTTTAGCTTTTAAGTTCAGGTGTACATGTACAGGTTTGCTATATAGGTACACTTGTGCCACAGGGGGTTGTTAAACAGATTATTCCATCACCCAGGTGTTAAGCCTAGTACTCATTAGTTATTTTTCCTGATCCTCTACCTCCCACCTGCTACCCCTCTGGTAGACCCCAGTGCCTGTTGTTCCCCTCTATGTGTCCATGTGTTCTCATCAATTCTCTCCTACTTATAAGTAAGAACATGCAGTATTTGGTTTTCTGTTTCTGCATTAGGTTCCTAAGGATAATTACCTCCAGCTCCATCCATGTCCCTGCAAAGGACATGATCGCATTCTTTTTCATGGCTGGATGGTATTCCATGGTGCATACGTACCACATTTTCTTTTTTCAGTCTACCACTGATGGGCATTTAGGCTGATTCCATGTCCTTTTTATTGGGAATAGTGCTGTACTGAACATATGCATGCATGTATCTTTATGATAGATGATTTATATTCCTTTGTGTGTGTATACCCAGTAATGGGATTGCTAGGTTGAATAATATTTCTGTTTTTAAGGAAATGTCACACTATTTTCCACAATGGTTCAACTAATTAACACCTCACCAACAGTGTATAAGTGTTCCCTTCTACACAGCCTCTCCAGCATTTATTTTTTGACTTTTATTTACTTACTATTTTTGAGACAGGTTCTCAGTCTGTGGCCCAGGCTGGCGTGCAGTGGCGTGATCTCGGCTCACTGCAACCTCTGCCTCCTGGGCTCAAGTGATCCTCCCACCTTAGCCTTGTGAGTAGCTGGGACTACAGGCTTGTGCCTGGCTAATTTTTTGTAGGGATGAGATTTCTCCGTGTTGCCCAGGCCGGTCTCAAACTCCTCTGCTCAAGCAGTCCACCTGGGATTACAGGCAAAATCCACCACACCCAGCCTATTTTTTGACTTTTAAGAATAGCCATTCTGACGGGTATGAGATGGTATCTCCTTGTGGTTTTGATTTGCATTTCTCTAATGATCAGTGATGAGCTTTTATTATATGCTTGTTGGCCACGTGTAGGTTCTCTTTTGAAAAGTGTTCATGTCATTTGCCCATTTTTTAATGGGGTTGTTGACTCTTGTCAATTTGTTTTAAGTTCCTTTTAGATTGCTGGATATGAGACTTTTGTCAGATGCATAGTTTGCAAAATTTTTCTCCCATTCTGTAGGTTGTCTGTTTACTCTGTTCATAGTTTGTTTTCCTGTGCAGAGGCTCTTAAGTTTGATTAAATCCCATTTGTCGGTTTTTGCTTTTGTTGTGATTGCTTTTGGTGTCTTCATTATGAAATCTTTGCCCATTCCTATATCCGGAATGGCATTGCCTAGGTTGTCTTCCAGGATTTTTATAGTTTGGGGTTTTACATGTAAGTCTTTATTCCATCTTGAGTTGATTTTTTGTGATGTAAGGAAGGGATCCAGCTTCAGTCTTCTGCATATGGCTAACCAGTTATCCCAGCACCATTTATTGAATAGGGTGAACTTTCCCCACTGCTTGTTTTTGTCAGGTTTGTCAAAGATCAGATGATCATAGAATGCGGTCTCATTTCTGGGCTCTCTATTCTCTTCCATTGGTCTATGTGCCTGTTTTTGTACCAGTATCATGCTGTTTTGGTTACTGTAGCCCCATAGTATAGTTTAAAGTCAGGTGGCATGATGCCTCTGATGTCTCCAGCTTTGTTCTTTTTGATTAGGATTGCCTTGGCTATTGAGGCTCTTTGTTGGTTCCATATGATTTTTAAAATAGTTTTTTTCTGGTTCTGTGAAGAATGTCACTGGTAGTTTGATAGGAATACCAATGAATCTATACATTGGAGGAGCTGCTGACTTTGCTCAGTGTGGAACCCGATACTCTGTACTTCTTGAGAAGTAATCTGTTCACTGGAGCTTTTCCTTCCAATTCAAAGCACGATATACATAAAAGAGAGTGTTAGGCATCAACATCTACTCCAAACCTTATGAAATTAGCTTATAAAAAGATGAGAGAAAATAAGAAGATGATTCTGTGTATTCAGGTCTCTGAAAAATAAATAACTGCTGTATAGTCACAAATTATTCTGATGAAAAGAGGCATCTGAAGAGACCATTGTGACTACACGTCAGCTCTCCAATCTCACAATTTTAAAAGACAGAAAATGGGAGTTCAGATATTTAAATCAAAGAGGAATGTAAGTGCCAAACACCTCTGAGAATAAAGTTGAAAAGGCTGGGATGAGCTGGCGTTTGTTTTGCTGTGCAGAGACTCTTCAGTTTGATTCAATCCCATTT